TTGGAAACCTTAAGCTGTTTATGCTTTTCCTCCTTTTAGAATCATCCCAAAAGTGTTACAGAAAATCCTAGCAGAGGAGACCACAGGACTATTGGTTGTGCCATGCTGGCCGACTCAGCCATGGTGGCCATTGGTAATGAAACTGCTGGTTCAGGAACCCCTTGTGCTTCCCAAAAGGAAGCACACCTTATTTCTACCTCAACAGCCAGACTTGGTGCATCCACGACACCAGAAGCTGACACTTCTGATATGCCACTTATCCGGAAATCACTTGAAGGCAGAGGCCTTTCGGAATCGGCTACCTCACTTATCCTGCAGTCCTGGAGAAAAATACAAAGACTAACTACGAAAAGGTAAAAAAGTGGCGAAAAGAAAATCCAGACCTCCACAAGGTCCAAAAGGAACGCGAAAAAAAAAAAAGTACGAGAAAGAAGAAAATGTTGGAGCTGAGAGAGCAGCAGTGTGCTTCGCCATTGGCAGAGTTCCAGTGTACGGAGAAAACGGATGCAATTGTGGACAACTTGCTCGCAAATATGACCTATCATCAGTCTTTGGATGTTGTCAATTTTGATTGAGAGGAGGTATTGGACTGTACATCTTCCGAAACAAATGAATTCCTCAACGAATTCCTTCACAACATACCAGCTGATCCATCATCAGTTGACTTTCATTAATCAAAAGCTGATCCATTGTTAGTTGATTTTGATTTATCATTATTAGATAACTAGAGAGTTTGTATCAGAAAGGAGAGAGCGAGAGCAGAGAGAAGTTGTTACAATAATAAGCCAGTTCGATAGATCATTATTGTAAATACGTTGCGTTTTTGCCAGCATTGTTTTGTAAATAATTTGTTGTAAGTCGGGTGCTACTCCGTTAGGGAGTAGCATACGCTTCGCAATGTAAATAGGTTTCAATGTTTCTTGTTTTTTGATAACTTGTTTAAATTGAATGTAGAGTCAATGCTTTTTGTTACTGGATAACTACCACCAATTAAGCTATACAAAGGTTTCTTTTGAATCAATTAACAAAAACAATCAAGATACATATCAATTCTTGGACAATTTATGTTCTAGTTTTCCAGTTGATACAATTGATCTCTCGCTTCATTTATTAGTGAAGTTTAATTGACCCCTTCACCCTTACTTGTGAAATTCAAGCGAGGAATAGTGATCTTTGAAACAGTTGTTGTAATTCTCGTGCCATATCCTTGGAAGGTTTTTGAGAACCTACAATAGCTGTACTAATGAAGTCTAAATACGGTTTTCTACATGGAATGAATTTACACCATGTATACCATTTCCCATTCTAATCTCTTTTTCTTTATCTATGATGCAGTGTACCACTATTTGCTACTTCTATCGTACATTTTAACGGTTTTGTTTTGCTTCTCCAAAGCCATATGTACACTATCTTGTGATGCTGTTTTATGGAACCCTCTTTTTTCAAAAGCACTGAAAGTAAATAGAAATAAACCTCAATTGCGGTAGAGAAAGAGGGATTATGCATCAGATTGTCACCCCTATCTAAGTATTGTCAACAAAATATGTCATGAAGAGATAATTCCTGCTAATATGGGGGCTAGACAAGTGCATGGCTAGTATAATATGAGGTTTTTCATGTGTAAGGAAGCCATGACTTTGAGGCATAACACAATAATTGCCAGATCCTCAACTTCCAAAGACGAATTTTAGACGGTTCCCATGCATTGGGATTGCGTGTAAAAAAACATATTGAAAGCACACTTATTGAATTGCCCACCTCATATCAAGTCATAATTCTGCTGCACCCCTCTCCCCTAACCAGTACCCATTTATACATATGGGAAAGGAGAGGCACTGTGAGAGTAGAGCATCTTGCCCAAGAACACAATGTAATTATCCCCAAAGGGGTCTTTTGCACCAACCATTTGGCCACTGTACCTCCTCCTTAGGGTTAGAGTGGAGTTTTACAGGGGCTACTTGCATAGCAGGATAGCATGGGGATTAATTACAAGAGATTTAATGTTGAGAAAGATACACCTGTTCCGGCCTTGACGGGCACTGCAAGCACAAAAATGAACGACCATGTTAAGATATCTCTTTCTATAAAGAAAGAAACATTAACAATCTTTCCGAGCCCAAACAGAACAAATAATAGTTTGAGAGTCCTCAAAGTGAAACAACAAAAATATCTCTCCAATTTAAGTTGGTTAGTTCCTAGCGAGCAAGAAAAACGCAAGGAAACTCCAAAAACAATCATTTTTTGCAATACAATGCAAGATATGGCATCTGTTCTTGGATACTTGCTGACCAGTTGTGGGGACTATGGTTATCCCACTGGAAAAGATAAACTACTTCCAAAAAGAGCTGTAGGACTTTACCACTCTCTAACCTGGGCAAAGTATAAATGTCGGGTTTTGAATTCCTTCAAGGGTAACGACGGTGTGGTCCGTGTTGTAATTGTATCATCTGCCCTCAGCATGGGTGTAAACAACCCAGATGTAAAATACGTCATACACCTCGGACCAGCACAAAGTGTTGTAGATCACATCCAACAGGCAGGGGAGCTGGCAGAAAGGAAAGCCAGTCTTTCAATGTTGTGGTTATCCATGGTCAACAATTGAGCCAGCGCGAACAGCTGATTAAAGAGTTTGCACTCATGTCTCATGCCATTCCCGTTTAGGCTAAAGTGTCTTGCCTCATAACCCCGAGAGAAAAACAGACTACCAGCAGTGTAATGGAAATATTTTTACCCTCACAAATTATTAATATTAATAACCCTTTACTAAAAGAGCACAAAGGCCTTACTGGAAAATATTGGCCCAAGGTTGTGGCAGTGTGGACCTAGCACAGCGAGGTCAGTACGGCAAGCTAGGCTAGTGAGTAGTATCATATATGGCACTTGAATTCGAATTTGCCGGCTCTCAAAAACAAATAAATGCACGGAGGAACGATGAGGAACGATGTGTATGGCAAAATCCTGACCGAAAAAGAACCAATCAGAATGCTTGGATTGACTTTTAGACTCCCTTGCCACATAATAATTCCAAATTTTGCTAGATGGTAAGGGGGACAGTAAACGTTTACAGGTTTTAAAGTGAAGTTATTTGTTAGTCAAGCCTGGAAGACACCAATGCATATTTTACTCTACCTTGAATGTTTCAACATGCAGCTGGCAAAGGGTGCATTATCTTGGAAACCTGTCCTGGATGAATTGGAAAAAAGAATATCTCATGACACTCCAACAACGCTCAAAGCGGGACAGTCTTAAGCAAATTGGGACATGTTATCAAGATGGAAACAGAAAAGAATGGGTTTGTGTGGAGTGTCCAAGTGAATGACTGCTATTTCCTTTCTTAAAGTGCCTATGAAGTAAGACATTTTTTGCATAATTTTGTAGCTTATTATGTCCTTGTTATGACATTGCAAAGGAAATATCAGGAAAAGAAAAATAAATCCGCCTTTTGGTTGCTCAAAGTCCCTCAATTAGATGTAATGGGTGTCTTCTGAAACTGGGAACGACTTTGGCACTGATGACGTAGTTGGTGGTTCTCGCGCTTCTTTACAGATGATTTTGTGTGCTGCAGATTGAAAATCTCTTTGTCAAAGTACTACTTCCTTTGATTTCCCGGGCGTAAACGCAACTATGTTTGATAGTGACGATCAGATATCATCTTTGGCATCTATTTCAAGCGATGAGCAGTCTAGTAGCGAGTCATCGGAAGAAATAGAGGTACTTAGACAAGTCCAACCTTACACGGACGAACCGCCAGCTCACACGAGTGACGAAGAGGAGGATGCTGAAGAAGACCAGGATGGTCTTTCTCCAGCAGTATTAAGGGCTAGATTGGAAAGAGAAGTACCTTTAAACGAATGGCGAGTTTTCTCTTTTATTTTCCTGAAAACCTTACTTGAATGAGCTTGAACTGTTTCTTCGCACCTTGCTCAGACTACATTCTGATTACTTACATTGTGTTTGTTTTGTAAGGTGCAAATGTGGAGAATGCACACTTGAGAATCTTACCGACGCCCAGGAATATAGATGCTGCTTAGAGATTGCTCTATTATTTTTGTCCTGGAAAACACTGGCAAAAAGTGATCAAAGTTTCAAGTCATCGTGAAATGAACTTATGTTACGTTGAACATATACTGCTGGTGTGTTTGCTGCTGTTTCTGTCGTAGTAGATTAAGGTATTTGGTTGGCATTTGTACTCCAGTAAAATTATGTCAATGTACCTTTCGTTAAATGGACAAGCAATCGATGAGTTTGAAAGGACTAGACAACCAAGCTCGTGTCTTGATGTTGACGCTGTTAGGGGTGAAAGAATGTTGTCCCATTTGCTACACCCCCTAACGCGGTATGTAGCAACCTTGATGGTCCAGTCAACTGGAAGACACATGTAGGCAGCTGTAAGCAATGCTGAAAATTCCGGTTTGACAGGGGCGAGTGATACAGAGGAAATTCTAGTTGAGAAACACGAAGAAAAAGAAATTATCAGAGAAGAAAAAGATGCCAGAAGACCTTGATGGCCTTTTCAAGGGGTTTACGTAAGACAGACACAAGGAAAAGAAAGAGAAAATAAGCATGAAGGAAATATACACAATGAACGAATTGCGTTTATGAACTGATTTCAGCATGTGTTGAAAAAGCTGGGTGAACAAAAACTAAATTTGGTGTTTAATTTTTCGATTTCCCTCGATTTCATAACTATTTGAACAGTAATATTGAACATAGATACTGTGGGGTAGCTCAGACTTATCAGCAGTGAGTTAAACCTATTATTCGTTATAATTTGAATATGTTATATGCACTATTGCAAGCATGCCCATTACTTTCTATCTAACACGCAGGAAGCCTCTTTCAGGTTTTGCAGGGCATATGAGTGTGGTAAAGATTTGCTGCTGATAGCTCAGTAGCCGTAATATATTTTATCTTCAAGCTTGGATTAAACCAAGTTAAGTTCTCTTTTCTTCCCATCTTTTTTGTCCAGGACACGGTTCCTTCAAATTTTAAGTGATACCTGCACTTAGCTGACAACACCTGTGCTCCCCACATGTTTCTGAAGATAATGATAAGCTGTACAAAACTCAGCAAGGTGTCAGGAAGTGTACGCACCTCAACAGCAATTCGCCACAAATGAGACTTTTCAGACCGTGTATCCCTATAAAGCCAGGACGATTTGGAATAAAGGCTTTCAATCTTGCAGAATCCAGGAGTGGCTATATCTTGAACAGCAAGATTTATACTGACATGGAAAATATTAAATTTCAGGGAGATTTAGAAAGGAAAGTAGATCCTAGCAAAATGAGTCAATGCCTTCGCGGACAATTATTAAATGTCCATAGCATATTTGACAGGTTTGAAGAAAGGCAAACCCTCGAATGTTCGGTCTTGCCAAAGGAGATTTGTGGCTGATTAAGTTTCAACCTCTAAGATGTTGTTATTAATCTGTCTTTGATTCTCCCAGAAGAGGTTTATTTCTCTAAATAATATTCCACTGTACTTATCCCTTCAAACATTGTGGAAATTTTATTGGGATTTGGTAATTAAGTAAGAAGACAAAGTTGGAACTTTTTATTAAGAGCTATTGATCTCATAGGTCCTTAAAACATTGGCATAACTATTACGTTATGTTTATTGACGTCACAATTTTGATATATCCCAGAACGTCTACAATATTTAAATATATATGGTTCCATAGGACTCTTTTGTAAAGAACGATCTTGACAAGCATTCTTGTACACACTAATTTATGTGGCAAATAAATACCACCCTCATGGTATGCAAAGGGTTAAAATTTTGACCTCAAATTTATTTTAAACTGAAACCCTTTGCATCCAGGCATGAGAAAGCTGAATCTTGATATCATACATGTATTTTATACTGTTTTTTTTTTTTTTTTCATTTCCTTTGTTTGTTTCCCTTTCGAGGGAGTGCATATCACAGTAAAGTCAAGAAAAAGACCGGAGCTCAGAAGATAAACTGGAACCGATTGATTTGGTGATAACAATCTACATGCGAAAAATTCAGATGCAAGCAGTTTACTCAAGTCGTTTGTAGAATCCCTTATCAAAAACATATCCAGGAAATTTTGTTGAAACTGTACCTTGAGCATGTTTCTCAGCTTGTTCAAAGATTACTGTTGCTGGTACAGCTGTATTAAGAGGTTGCCATTCAAGACTTCAGTGAGGACCTGAAATGGTTTATACCCCAAAATCGTTGGACACATTCCAAGATTGTCCTTAGCTGATATTTTTACGCATCTTTTAAGTCTGTAAGAAAGCTATTATCCTTGTGAGAGTTTATACCATGTTTTGGATCGTCACAGGCACTGACAGGCAGCACAACTAGGATGTCCATAATAGGATACCTTTTGGTTTCACTGCCTACAGTTGGGACATCTTTTCAACAGATAACCCACATGTCTCACCCTACCCTTACCACGCTTACTAGGCAAAGAACGATGACAGGGAAAGTTGAGGCAAGTGTAAACTGGAGTGATTCCCTAATTCGTTCAGGGATAACTGGAAGAGACCTAAAGAAAATCAAGCGAGCCATGAAATAGTAAAGAAATTGGAATTTCTTTGTACTGTAAATACTTTGCTTAGTGAGAGTGGTAAAAGCTAACTAAGGCTAGGCTAGGTCCAGTTAAGCATCATGCCAAGTGCTAAACTGGATCACCGAGACCCCTGGAACAATGCCAAGAATACTGTCAAACATGATTTCTTGATCTCTAGTGCCTTCTGGCACCCACAGACTGTATCATCTCTTTCCTTGAAAAACCGCCCCATTACACTACGACTTTTGATATTGAAAGGTAAAACTCTTGCCCTTCAGGTAGTCTTCATCATCTCCTTGAACGTCAACCATGTCGTTTATGCAAGGGTAGTACGGTACAACAACAGTCCCTGGTGTAACTGGTAAAATGCGGTGCATGTAGTCTACCACCTAGTAGCTTGAGTGCCCAGCCACATCCTCATCTTTGGCAAGAGTAACTTTCCGACTGATGTTTTCAACAGGGAGACATACATGTAAGCCGTCATGTTGCATATGTATACTAATTCAATCCCCCGGTTGTCTTAGAAATATTGTATTGTATATCTAACCATTGGTTGGCAGATACATTATTGCGTATTTTTTCACTGTCTCAAGAATATTGTGACCCGGAAATATTTCCTTTTGTTTCGTTATTTTATTTTTTTTTCAATTTATCATTTATCTGAGGCAGATACTGAGCTACCTGTATAAATACAGTTTTGCCCAGAATTCCACCCAAAAACACCATACTTACTCGGACAACTGACTGTGGTCCCATGGCCGGTGTCTATTGAACAGAATTCCTCAGAACCTGACAAAAAGGACCAAAGACAAAGGCGACCTTTCATTGCCACAGTAATCACCAGACCTGATGTCTATGCCATCAGAACCGTGCCCAACATTAGAATCTCTGAAACAAGAACCTGTTCCTTTACAACTGTGTCGAGACATTCAATGATGGTGTCTTCCACACAGCCTCTGTCTCCCTTTCCTTTATGTCAGCCATCTTAACTACAACAATCACCATTAGCTGGTCCAAGAAGAGCAATGTACCCAATCTCCTGCCCATGAGGCATTTGTGATTGATTGATGATCTATCCACTTGCATATGTCCACCATTTGTAAGTACCTAAGGCTGACCAGGGCACCTGAAGCCAGGTGGTCAAATTGCCCACCCACAGGGGAAATCATAATTGTTTCTAAGATACTTAGGTTATATTTCCATAACCAAAAAGTATACCACAAAGCATCAAAGGTGTATTTTCATTGCCAGCTCGCCTGTGTTCTCCCCAAGCAACCATATATAGCCATTATTGGATTACATTTTTTCCCTTTCACAACCCCTGCATCCATTTTTTTGTATGTTGCGGGAGGGGGAACAAAGCCCATGAATCCCTGCTTCCCTCACCTATGCTCTGTTTTGACATACATGTATTAGTAATATATGTTCCTGTTTTGCCAATAATGCAGAGTCCTTTGTCAGTATTCACTGATTATTTATAGCTTATTTCCAAAGGCTGAACAAACAGCAACCATTCCAGCAACCATTTCTAAGGTATTTTAAACATATTTATGATATTTCAAATTGAATCTTGTCTAAGAAAAATGCTGTACATTTTTAATTGTATTAATTTTTTACATGTGCAAGCTGTGGTACATTCCAGAAAGTCACTTTTGCCAAAAACAAATTTGGCAAAATTATGTAAAGAAATAGATATTGAACAGATCAAAGAAGACCTGACAGAAGCAAATCTGGAAATGACACTGCCAGAGAGCAAGGTGAGCCCTGTGGTGGTGTTCAGCAGTTTAACACTTCACAACAGAGATTCAATAGTCTGCTTACCAAAAAACATGACACAAGAGCAGCCTGAAAAAAGTGGTTGTCATAATCCTGTGAGAGTTACGGAAGAAGATGTAGTCCCACACCTCCAACTTTTAGATTGACACAACAACATCTACAGCATAGGTATGACACCAAGATAGGATATGAAACAAAAAAAAAGGTTGCAGAACTAATAAAAAGTTAAAGGATCATGTAGATCAGTATCTTATCTAGTGACCCAAGTCCAAAACATGCCAGTGATACAAAATGTAAATACCACCCTTTCAAAGCCACCAAAGATATTTTTTGCTTTTCTTCTTTCCCACAGATCATTAGGGAATGGAATTTCCTTCCTGTCAAAATTCAGACTCCAGTGATGAGTTTCAAACTTAATTATGAAGACATTTTTCTAATTAGTTTTAAAATCATTTTATAATTATGTATATATACAATTTTTTTAAAACTTTTCAAATGTTGTCCCTGAGGATTTTACCCCCAATGCCATTTTTATACACCATACTGTATGAAATACATGTACATGCACATGTAAATGAATTCATCATCGACAGACAGCAGCACCATCAACAAAGATTAGCAAATCAAGAGGCAAAAGAAATTCTCAGAGGTACCCAAGAACGTACAATGTAGATAGCCATGGCAAAACAACGTTTTATGTGCAAATCCACATTCAAACTTGCTTTGGACAGTTTTGTTGCAATCACATTCTTGCAGTGACATCAGGTCTTAAATAATCTGTGATGGCTGTGGGGAGTGCTTCCACTTTGTCATAATCAGCTTAGAGGCCTGTGATCTCAGTAGCTTTTTTCTCAAAAGAGAAAATTACTTGAAGTTCAAGTAACCATGTGTACAGCTATGCAACTATAATGGTCAATGTGCCTGGTCATCAGTTAGGGACTGTTCCTTTCAAAGAAACTGATTTTCTTTTTTTATTATCATTTTTTCTGTTTTTGTTTTTTATTCCTTTCAAGTGTTTGTATTTTATATTTTCCTTATAGCTTTGATATTCTTGTAAATAGCTTTTTTTAATATTATCTTTACTATTATTGTTATTATTATTGTTGTTGTTTTTATTATTGTTGTTATTATTATTATTATTATTATTATATGCCTTCTAAATAGCTTATTTAATAACATTCTGGGAAGCTCCTTGTATAGTTGCTCCCATCCCATTTGCACTTTCCCTTTCTCTTTTCCTTTCTTTTTTCTTTTTCATGTGGCTAAATATCATTTAGGTAAAGTTAGACTCTAACCAATGCAGCCAGCGGTTTCTCCCTTGATGGTGCATGACCTGTGGGGCAGGTCTCAGGGAATTTGTAGGGCCCTAGTGCTTCACCACACTACATGTGCAGTTCAGTTAGCTGATCTTTGCGGATCATTTGCAGCTCATGCTAGTGAATATTTGCAGATTCTTGCTCGGATTATTGCTCTCCGTGTTGCTATTCGAAAGTTTATGTCCTTGACATGAACACCAGAAACACACATGACAGCCGAGTGGCTGCCCTCGATGCCTTGCCTCTCTTCCCTGATTCCTAGGGATATCATCTGTGATCTGATACAACACTGGATTTTAGCATGGCTCCTAGAAATCTTTCTAATTCTTCCCCTGTTGTCACATCTAACGCTGTGCTACAGGACCAGCCATCTCCCACTTTTCTGGCCACCATTGCCAATGCCATGAAGCAAGTGCTGTTGGCCAAGCAAGCGTCAAGTCTTCCTGTGTCTAATTCACTCGTGAGCGTGTCCATGGCATCCATTTCGAGAGGTGTTCTCGCTCAGCCCACTAGCCTCAGCCTGCTTGATTCTCAAGCTTTGTCCTTAGCTGCTTCTGGCACTGAATTTTTGTCCTTTCCACCGGTCACAGCGACCACTTCTGCTCAAGGTAGGCCAAATTTAGTTGTCCCCACATTTGTGTCAACTTTCTTCCCTCCAACTCCTTTGATCGTATCTTAAACTAGTAATTTCCCCCACAAATATCCAAGTTGCCATGGCCCACACCATGCAGGAGTCTACCCAGGTGATACACAAAGCAAGCCCAGCTCTCTTTCCAAGCAGTTAGCTGACTCTCCCTCTCCTTGGTCCAGCAGCAAGTCCCATCACGTGTAGACTCGCTTATCCTTTTTGCTGCTGTATGTAGTATTATCTCAATGCCCACTTTCTTGCTATCTTTATCAAGGGATGGAGAACTATTTGTTGTATTTGCTGCTGCCACTGTGTCATTAAAGCTGATTGTTTCANCAGAAATCAAGGGAAGAAAACATTTGACATGGTTATCTTTGGTTGTGATTTAAGACAAAGATGCGTGAAAATCTGAAAAGTACAATTGTTCCTTTCACATTCGTGCCTCTGGGAATTAACCTTTATAAGAATTAACAGGAGAGGGTCCCCAATAGGTTTGGCAGGATGCGGGATTGGGCTTTTTTTCGCCGTGATATTTGGGATTTGAGCTGAAAACAGGGGCGGGAAGTGGGAATTACAATTACGAGCGGGAACGGGATTTCATGTTTTTATAGAGTTGGGATGCGGGATTCGCAAGGGGAACAGGGCGGGATACGAGATTTCAATTCTTACATGACCGACCTCATAAATTGTTATTGACCAGTGCAAGAACCACAAGCTGGCAGAAACAAACCTTTTGTGCGTTATAGCTGTGTCAGGTTTCAAGTAATGAATAGCAACGGATCTGTACCCTGTCAGGTTCTGTCAAACGTATCCATTAACGCTTGACTACGTTAGCATCACGAGACTGTATGAGGTCTTTGAGTCCTATTCCTACTGATTGCGATCATTTGTGTTGACCTCTGACATCAATGAGAACATTTTTGACGCTTGCATCTGTAATCTTGGCCCCTGATCATTTCTAGTTTTTCTAGTCTTTCGACCTTTTCCACAGCGCTTGGTTTGTTTTGGCCAGGATAGCCACACCGGGTGGCAGTGATAGTAGTTTACCGTACGAAGTATGCGTCGCCATATATTACGAAAAGAATGCGCGAGCAGGAATGCCTTTATTCAGAAAGAAAAGTTCTGAGCCCACATTTCAAGGAAAGTAAAGAGGCTGAAAGCTTTGAAAGAAACTGTCAAGTGTGTACACAGGCCATTTCTTTCACTGATACGTGGACAAAAGAAAACAAAATAGTAAACCCTTTATGGAAAGAAACGTTATAATCATTTGTGCTTACTTATCTGCTACCCATTGAATTCTTTTGTGATCTTTCATATGACATCTATGTTTAAAAAGTTTCTGTGTAATAATTAAACTAATTATTAATTTAACAAATTAATAATTAACCCAGAAACGTCTTTGAAAAGTAGGCGGGATCGGGATTTCCAGTCAAAATAGGGTGGGATGGCGGGATTAACAAGAAAAAACGAGCGGGAAAGCGGGATCTGAGAACCCTATTGTGGACCCTCACAGGATGGAAACCTGGAAGAATCCAACCCGGCGGAATCTAAATTTCAGAGGTAGAGGGCCTGTCGGAATCGAAATTTCAGAGTAAGGGGCCTGTCGGAATAATGCCCTCCATAGCGGGTGAACGGATAAAAAATGGAATGTCCCATTGTTTTTAAAGATGTGAGCTCACCTTAGCTTGTTGTGGTCACCGTCGGTCGATGTCACAGCTACAAGTAGCTACAGCGAGCTATAACTGCATGGTCGTGACGCGTGACTGAATCGTGAAACAAACGTGAAAGAGAAAGGTTGATACAGAAAACCTTTAGGTTTCAGAAAGAACATCAATTACTCTCACAAGTAAAGCATTAATTAGTCTCAGTAACAGCTGAAAGTACTTACACTGAACCAAGCATCGACGCTTACGACGCCGCTCCGATCAGCGTGGAAAGTGTGACAGGTGAAGTGACCAGCGGTTTTATAAACAGGGAATCACGTGATTAGAGGGAGTGAGCAAGGAAGTTTCCTTCCTGTACTATCGGGGCTTTAGCATTCTTTCACATTTCAGAGCTTCAAGTTTTTCAGATCACAAAAATGTGGAAAGCAGGGGTTGACACGAAAATGAATATTGGTGGTGGAGATGACGATGACTGGGAAACTGATCCTGACTTTGTGGTGAGTGTAATAATTCCACTGTTGTATGTTCACTTCCTCTGTAGGTTTCGAATATGAACTTGATTTTTAAAAGTCCACTAAGCGTTCTACTCATCCTATAGACAGTAGATGTACTCGATCTTACACTGCGTTATCGATTGAATCACGCTTTTTATCCTTTTCCTTTAGAACCACCTTGAAGTTTGAGACCTTCATTTCTTTAGCTTCACACAACGTTCATGTCTCATAATAAGCTTTTATTATAATTATGCTCAATTATTTGTTATCTCGACAATAGCACTTTTGTGCCCTTATGATGCATTCTGATTGGCTTACGGATATGCTTGCATCTCAAAATGCCTTATGAAGATTGTCAGAAAACTACGTCTTCCCTAAATAAAATGTAAAATAGCCTTATATGTGGGCTTGAAACAGTTTTTTGGGAGTAGAGCCATTTCAATGCAAAACAAGAGTTAAGAAATAGAGTGTGTTTACGGTGGCAGATCTAGGGGAGCGGTCCGTGGGGCCCAGGGGGGCAGTCCCCTTATTTTGGGTAAAAAAAGAAAAAAGGAAGGAAGAAAGAAAAGCTGGCAGGGCAAGCAAAAAAAAAAACGCCCCCCTCACTCAACCCCAGGTTTAGCCCACCTTCCTTTCGGCGTCTCTTGCAGTGGTTTAGGTTGCTGTAGCATGCCGTCTTTTTGACGTATCAGGGTCGGTAACCTAGCGTGTAATCCCCCCCCCTTTCGCATCCTGGGCTTGGAACCAGGCAATGGCGAGGTCTAAGAAAAGCCAATGTTATGAAAAAAGGATTACATCTGAAGGTATTATCCTCTTTTTTCGAAAACTTTAGAGCAGAATGGAACGTCCCATTTGATTTCCCACTGGTGCAACCGATTTATCTAGACAATTAAAAAGCGTTGCGTTACTCCTAGCGCTGAAAAAGGATCGCAGGGTCTGGAAGCGAGACCTACTTTGGACTGTAAATATATTGATTTAATTCTGTTTTTCTTTACTTTTTTTTTTTTTGGCCCAAGCGAAAACAGGGCACAGATTAAATATCGGACGAATGGCAAACTCCTACCCATTTTCCTTGCCTATGCGTTGTCCACTCATACCTTTACTTGGTATTGTATATATATTCACTACTGTTTCTTTTTGGTCCTTAGGGTATTTAATCGTGGACTGACGTAATTATCGTGGGAAGAAAAATAAGATGGATGATCAAAGTGAGTCTCTGTTCTTAGCAAGTACGTAAAGGAGAAAAAGAGGTCATCACATGGCACGATAAGGTCCATGAAGAGAGAGAGGTCTAAAAGTCTTTAAGGAAAATGTCCAAACCGCAGACATAGCATTAGCCTATGTAGTGATTGGTCGTTATGTTCTACCGAGTAACCACTTGACAAAGATACCTGTCCAATGTAGATCGTTTAACATGTGATTACCTTGCGTTAATACACAAGCTTACACAAGCTTACACAAGCACTAGTACTCCTAGGAACTGCGGTCTTACGCAAGTGAATAGCGATTGAAAAAAACAGTACAAAACGGGTTAAAGATAGGATAAATTCAAGCCCTTGTTACCAACAACTGGCTAAGTTTTCAAGATTCAGACTAACATTAATATCGCTCTCTGATCATCACAAATTCAATAATTTGCAGGCGACATCATACCGGATGAAACTCAGGTTGTGGTCCATTTTTCCAGCTCGGAGTGTACGGTGTGCACTCTTCAAGTAGAAGATGATAAAGTGTTCTATTGGCAAATCCCAGATTTTATGACTTCTTTCCTTTTCACCGACTTCTTAACCGAGATCGTGGACACTCTCTCCGATCGGGACACGGAGAGATTCATTCAACTCTTCGATCCTTTTTCATCGTTATGGGACGAGTTACAAAGGTGGAACAAAAAACGAGTCAAGTGGTTTGATGGTGACAAGACTTGCTCGAGGATACGTGAAGCCTGTTCAAAGGAAAAGAGTATCAGCGCCTTCGTTTTCCTTTTTCCATCGCAGGGAAACATTAAGAGTATCGACGTTCGAATCAACGATGAAATCGACCCCTCTGGAGAGTTACGAAGATTAATAAACCAGCTTATAGTGTCCACCAAGACAGCGGGGAATGAAGAGTCAGATGACGATGAGGAAACAGACGAAGTTCGCGATGCTTTTGTGGATGAGAAATACTCGTCAGATGAAGAAGAAGAGATTGACAAACACGTGCAATCGAATCCCGAAAGGCCTTGCTATTATCCCTCGCAGATAGAAATGGCAGCTATACTGAAGAAACGAATTGACACCATCATGTTTCACTACCACAACATTTCGAGACTGAGCGATGCTTTCGACGATGTTGAGTTTGCAGTATACACGGCTCGTTACAGAATGCTCAGCGATCAGACAGAGAAGAGGATACGACATCCTGATGCCGGTGTATTATCAACTGAGGAACTCAAATCTCAGCGGGATGATGGCGACGAAAAGAAACGGATGTTTATGTATGTCCGCAGTGCAGAAACGGAGAAGCACTTTGAAAAACTTAAAGAAAAGGTTCAAGAAAAGCCTAAAACTCTTTTCGTCATCATAGCAGACGAGTGCCACTGGGGAATAACGAAAGATAAAGAAAAGACATCTTCCGCCCATAATCTCTTCATTAATGAATGGTGCAGAGGCAATTCCCCTCGAAATGTCATCGTAGTTCAAATTTCTGCGACACCCTTTAATCTTCTGACAAAGAACTCACGTCTTCCAGTGGTGCAATGCGTCCTTCTCAATAGCAAAATGACCACCTGCCAAAGAAACTACCAGGAAGGTGAACTTGTAGTGTTGGAAAGAGAACCTAACTTGAATGAACAAGTAAGAAAGTCCTCGAAGGAATTAGAACTTCACGTTGTCCACTGGTCAGAGGTTGAACTGAAGAATTTTGAACGCGGGATGCAGATGAAGCTCAAATCAACCTTGACTTTTACAGATGCTCGTTACCGATTCCTTCAGGTTTCTCCAGACGGGAACCTGTGTGTCACATCTATCGAAAGTGAAGCATCTAATTTTATCGTGCAAGGCAGCCACGGTATTGTGACCCTCAAAGTGTTTGCAATGACAGGACAACAACCCTTAACAGTGACGATGACTGAACATGGAAATTTGAAAGCCACAGTCGACCCTCTACAACCAACTACATTTGAAGTTAAATTGGAGTTTGGTGTTGGAGTTGTCGCATTTTGTTCCACCGAGAACCCAGATCACTACATTGCTGTTGATGAGCATGAACACGTGACTTTGCAAGCTGCGAAAGTTGAAAGGAAGTGTGGCGTTTGCTTCATGAAACCAAAGCATCAGGTTGCAAGAGTGGCCTTCGAGTTCTACATTGATCAGTCTGGGCCAGTGGAAGTCGGCATGGTTGGGAAACAATACATGAGTTTAAACCACTACCTAAGTACCATTTACTATTCAGACCGGAACGATCAAAAGATAAGAGAGGACAAATTTTTCCAAGGTATCGTAGACAAGGCCAAGAGGCAAAAGAAAATCTGCAAGACTGATAAGGCCAAAAGCGATAACGATTCTTCATCGTTTCCAATTGATGCCTTACTATGTGGAGAGTATTGTTACCACATTCTTCATGCAAGCGTATATCACAGTGATGAAAAAATACGCCGAGCACTTAATTCTGACCCAGAATATTCTCCTGCTGCTGAATTCGAAAGAACCCTAAAGTCCTTCATTAGGGAACTCAAGAGAGAAGCCGAAACGAAAACGTACATCCACCCCGAAGCTTTTGAATTGGTTCGAAATGAACTCCACAACGAGGTGACACGCTCTTTCAAAGAAAGCTTCAAAGCAGTAGCAATACATCAGAAAACTAGCGCGTCCAATGAAGGATTGAAGGAGCTCAACGAGGTATTTGCGACTTCATACGTTGCCTGCCTGATGCATCTTTCCCAGCAAGAATTTCGGAAACTCAAGGAAGACACACAACCAGTCAGCATCATTGAAGACATCGAACAGCAACTGCAACAAAATGGCTGTCAAGCGATGGTCGAAAAATGGAACCATAATATTCAAGAATTTGAAACGGCTTCCTTGGCCAAAAATCTGATCCAGAGTGGCAAAGGGGAACAGGGCAAAATGAAAATTGTACGCGCAAAGAGCATGGACACTGCTGATCAATTTTTCTACACTCTACGTCTGGCACGAGCAGTGTCTTGTCTCGATGATTGCTTTGAAGTCATCAAAGATTACGGTGGAATTCAGATCGAGAACCAACTGATGAAATCATCAAGTCCATTCTTTCGAAAGCTTCAACCAGAAAAGTGCACGTTCAAGTTTCCGGATTGTTGTTGTCCCGGGTTGAAGCTACAAGCTGGCCGAAAGAAGTGTGTAAACTGTCAGCATGTGCACAAGTTGATAACGCAGTATGAAGACCTGGAAAACCTCGCATGCGTACTCATACTGGTTGATAAAGGTCGCATGGGAGACACATTTCCCCAAAGCTTTGACTGTCTTGATCTTCGCCTTAGCTATGACAACAGTCGGGAGTTCAAGGAGGGAACGCCTCTGTTTCTTTCGACTCTCATTCAAGAACTTGGAAGAATGTGCCGTTATGCAGAGGTCCCTGCAAGCAGCAACAAAGTGCAGAGCATTCCATACGTGCTGGTAGGCAGGGAACTGTTCAAGAAACTTGAAACGTCGGTGGAAATGTCTCCTTCGATGAGCGCAATATCTTGTACCAGAGCTGACCGGTATATGACAAAAATTGGCAGACATAAAGACACCACTTCCTCGTCACTCCGTTGGCTAGACTACGAAGCTCATAAGGATAGTTACGATCATCAAAATCAACTGAAGCATCCCAACAGA